CAAACCCTGGACGATATAAAGAACCTCCACATCAAGATAGCCAGGTGGCACAATATCTGCCCCATATAAGAGAGACGATGGGAGGACGAACACGAGCCTGCATGGTTTACGAATTTTAATTATTGACAATCTAAAAAACTTTTAATTAGCATCAAGGAATTTTATACAATTTTTTAAAACTTACATTCCCAGGAAACTGCTGTGTTTGTTAAATGTTCTACTCTGTGTACTATGTATTGTAACATATAAGTGTACGTACTTTACGTGTAAACAAATTATGTGATAGTGGTTTCCTATTTGTAGTGATGTTTGCCCTCTGAAGATGGTCCACAGAGACCGAAACATGTAAGGGTGTTAAGTTTTTATGTAGTAAAAAACTTACAGGTCACATTGGATGGAGTGATTTATCATTTGTAATTGTTATTGTGACGGACCAGAATGAAACAAATCAAACTCAGAGAATTAATGTTTTATAATAAAGAATAAGATCTAAACAACTCAGTATTCTGACATTCACAGCTACAATACCATACATAAACATAATCTGTATGTCCAATTTTGTAATACTGATCATGGAAAAAAGGTGTAATTAATATGGGAATTAAAATATTTAGTGGCCTTCCCCTTGAATTGAAAAGTGTTGAACATTTTAATGTTTTTAAGAGGAAACTAAAAAATTATTTGCTATGCAGCGATTTCTATTCTCTTTAAGAGTTTTTCAACTAATGCTGGATTGATGACTAGCTTGTTGATTTTCTTTTGGTTTGCAATTTTTAATATGTTCGCCTGCTTTATATTATTGATGTTTATCTTTTGGTCTTATGTATTTTTTTATTGTTATGTTCCTTATGACGGTTGTTATAAATCATTGTGTAAATTTTATGTGACTTTGACATGTGATGTATTCGAATTATTTCTTGACGTGTCCAATTGTATTCACTTCAGTTACGGATGAAAATAAATTTGAAAGTTGAAAGTTAATTAGCATGTCTGCATTAGTTCGGCATAAACACTGCAATATATGTTTTTATATTCTGCTACATTACTTACACCGATTTCATAGTACAGCCTCCCAACCCACTGTAAACGCTGTAAACTGTGCAAAATTACGAAAATTGAAGTTTCACGTACGTTATTTCCAATCTGGCTTCGCTTATTCTTTGAATTCTTTGAACATACTACCGGCTTAATATTCGTCTGCGATCTCGCACATCGACGCACATCGACTGAGCATTTAAATTCGAAGTCATGAATAGGTCATCAGCGACGAATGATAATGCCATATAATAGGTATAAAATGTATCTTCAATGTCTTTAATGTGTGCATAAGTCAAATATTCCCCATTGTTCCCCATTCCCAATTTTGTATTCAATGGCGCACAAGCCTTGCTAACAATGTGACCAACATTACGCCATTGTTTGAAATATAAAGGTAAAATGCATGGTTCGTGTTGGTTAGGTGTGGGGCTCTTTACTTTTTTAGTTTAATTCACTTCAGAATTAGGAATTCAGATATCTTTAGAGCTCTAGAGTAGCGTTAATAATCCGAACTCCTATTAACATCAGATGTTTTTTAAGGAATACATAAATGGTGACGTAATTCATATATAGTGCAATGCTAGTATAACGTTTGTATTAATTAAGAACTGTCGGAAATTAAAAAAAAAAAATATATATATAAATTTTATAGCAGTATTATCACCATTTGTGTTCCTCAAGTGTCACTTGATGATAGTATAAGTGGGCCGAAACATGTGAATTGCTTAATAAAAACATTGATTTGTGTGAGGGTTTTCCCGTAGTTTTGTAGTAAGCACCACATGCAGGAAGCAATCGTGCAAGCTTCATCCGTCAGTGGTATCAGCAGCAGGTGGGTAAGGGTTTTCCCCAAGTTTTGTAGTAAGCACCACATGCAGGAAGGAATCGTGCAAGCTTCATCCGTCAGTGCTATCAGCAGCAGGTGGGTATTGTACAAGTTCCACAATGTTGTGCAAGAGAGGTTATTGAATAAGGCTTGAATGAAAAGTACGTATCATTAGTTTTACCTTATGTAGGATGGCAGGTGCTGGGATGTCGCATAACCACAAATGGCAGGAAGAGGGTGTATATCCACCGAACAACTTTTCCTGGATTGTTAAAGAAGAGCTGGCCGCTATGGCGTGGCCTCGAATGCCATCAAATCTTAGATTTCTTGAGAAGCAAGGAATCAAGCATCTGGTAACTTTATCACCAGAGATGAGACCACCCATCCATACTTTTGCAGAGTTAAAATGGACAGAAATTCCTGTAGAGGAATTCTGTTCACCATCAGTCACCCAAATTAAGGAATTTATAGACATTTGTCAGAAGTCTAAAACAAAAAACGAGGTTAGTATTTACATAAGTTGATTTTATCACATAGATTTAATTTTTTGGTTTTTGTATGTGATATCTTATACTAGAAGAGCTTGTTGAAGTTTCATTAGGGATTTGATTTGTTTCATTCTAGTCCATCACACTAACAATATCATGAAGAGTTTAACAGTTCCGTCTAGATGGAACTGTTCAACTTTTCATGATTTCATTGGGGAATTTTAAAAAGAAGCTTAGAAATGCCAAACGTCAGTAACTTGAAAAGATCTGGAAGGACAGCTGCATTTGTACTTAGATACTAAACTTGATAGGGTAACAATATTTTTCCTGTGGTGCTACAGCCCCAATTTGGGTCTAGGCCTACCTCCATGAAACTCTCTGTTTCACTTCGGTTTACTAGATCTTACACATGCAGTAGGACTCCTTGGGTGAGTGATCAGCTCATCTCAAGGCCTTTACCTGTAGACAAACACAGAAAAACGCACACAAACATCCATGCCCTGAGTGGGATTCGAACCCACGATCCCGGCTTCCGAGTGAACGAAGACAGTGCATGCCTTAGACCTCTCGGCTACCGTGACCGGCAGGGTAACAATATGCTATAATGAATTCCTCACTGGTTAGTTCATCACATCATCATTCAGTCAAACTTGGACTAACTGAAAATTATTAGTTGTGTGATTTGGCCCTCAGATGAAAATTAAACATCATGAGATACACATAAAATTCACTAATAAATATCTATTTAACATTGTCATGATATGATGTATTTCTGCCATGAGCTTTTTGTAATTAGTATGCAGGCAGATTGTTCTGAATGATTTCAAGTGCAACAAGTAAACATTTAAAATAAATCCTATCTCTAGCAACAGTTTCCGCAGATAAGCCCACCCCACAGTGATGTAGTCTTGTGTGCATTAAATTGTGATGCTACCAAGTATGTGCACTATAAACAATGGAAATTTGACGAGATTTGTGTTCTGGGATATGTCATATTGTTCGTTGAAAGTAAACCTATATTTCAGAGGAATATGTTGCCTCCATCTCATCTGTAGGTGAAAGAATAAGCCAAGTAACAAACTACGAAGAAGCGGGTAGAAGGTCGAGCAGAACTTACACGTTGGTTTCTTGCTTGTCTTATTCTGTGACCTTGAAGATGTAAGCTAGATGTTCCTCTGAAACATCAATTGACCTTCAACAGACTACACAGTGTTTCATTTCCTTTATTTTCCGTATGTCCATACAGGTAACAAACCTAGGATGTGGAAATGGTCCCTTTGAAAATAGATATATCAAGATATATGTACAAAATTACACGAGTCACACAATCAAAATCACTTACATTAATTGATTAACATAAATAATATAAAGTAAAATATTTAAGAAGATAATTTAAAAATAACTTACTATAAAACTTGAACTAATACAATTTTATTTAAATTACCAATGTTAACTGAATTAAATGCATTTCAAATTTACACAGTTATGACAATTATGTTGATAAAATTCATTCATGGAATAAAAGGAATGATGATATAAAAACCTCTTCAATGCAGATTTAAAACTTCTCATATCAGTAGCCAACATTTTTATTGTTGAGGAAGATGATTAAATATTTTAATACATGATATGTATGCACCTTTATTGTATTTTGTTAGGTTAACTGCAGGTAAATATAACTTACTGTGGGCTCTAGTTTTGTATTTGTGAATCTCATTGTTAAAATTAAGTAAATGTTTATTATTAATTGTGTATAAAAGTAATGAATATATTTACTGAGAGTAGAACGTCATTATTTCGAAATTCTTAAAAATGTCCCTACAAGACTCTCTTGGTCTAGAATTTGTTGTAATTCTAATAACTTTCTTTTGCAATATAAAAACTTTGTTAACACAAGAAGAGCCACCCCAAAAAATTATACCATAACTTATGATAGAATGTATATGAGCAAAATAAATTAGCTCTAATGTATCTAAAAGGACAATATATTTTATATTTCTCAATGCATAACATTCAGTGGAAATTTTATTAATAACATAATGAGTATGCTGTTTCCATGAAAGAGTATCATCAGTAATTAATCCCAGAAATTTTGTCTCAGTGACATTTGTTAAATTTATCTGATCATAGTTAATTTGAGTAGTGATATTATAATAATTCATAGGTCAAAACTCGACATATTGAGTACAACTATCTCTTATGTTCTTTGTGATAAAAAAAAGAAACAAATTCATAGTAAATTCAGAGATTCGTAGAATAAATACCAGACAGCAAAATAATCTCCGTCAACCTCTTGTAAATTTGAGTAAATACCAAATGGGAGTTTATTGTTTAGGAACAAATGTCTATAATAATCTACCACAACATATTAAGGATATATCGAGTGACACTAAGAGTTTTGAGGTACAATTAAAACAGTTTTTATATTTACATTCTTTTTATTCACTACAGGAATATTTCAGTTATAAATATTTTTAAGATGCGAGTAACTGTCTTACTTTACAATTTAAAGAAGACAAGACTGTCAGCCTGTGTTCTAGTTTTAGTTACTTATTTTAGATAGACACAATTTTTGTATCACTGTATACTAGTCTTTATTTAAATTTATTATACTATTAATGTATGTTATACAAAACTCATTAATGACATTGTGTTTTAACTATTGAATTTTTAATTAACAGACTTTTATAAAACTGTATAAATTGTATAAGGTTTGCCATTACTTTTACTACTAAAATTAAGATATTTTATTATATTGTATATGTTTATCAGTATTTTAGTACAAATGTGTATGCTATTGGATGACAACTGTAATTCTTAGTTGTGACTGTAACTAGGACGATCTCCACATCCGCATGAGAATGTATTCTCGGCAGGATTTATGGAAGGTGAATAAATGAATGAATGAATTAATTAATTAAAATCAAGGTAAGCAAATTAGCATTAAACCATGTATTTATATCTTTGAAAGTTTAATTAAGATTTATTTCAAAGTTTAACTTATTAGTTGTCAGTTACTATAATACTGGTGTTGTCTGCAAATAATACCATATTATTAACTTGGAAGAGAGAACTCTTCATAACCATTGCTGTGAGAACCTCAAATCCTACAGTGGGAATTTGTTCTTTGCAAAGGTTGAGATTGCAGTGCTGATTGAAGTATAGGTACCTCCATCATTGCCATCTGGTGGTTCATTATGTAACTACTACTAGCATCAATGATTTATACAATATTGGGGACACTAAGGACATTGAGTAAGCATTAGGCATTTATATATAAGTTGATGATTATGTTATGTATCCTTTCCTTTTCTCCTTACCACTGTTGGTCACCTCTTTTATAGCTGTCTCATTCGCGCTTACTAATTCTTTCAGATTGTTTTGTTTATAAGGAGGTGAGGTTCGTTGTATTCGGTAGAGATGAGGATTTCTTTCCTAAGGACTATAGTGGGCCTCAGCTCCTTAGGGCAGGAATTAAGCTCAATGCTACACATGCACATATCAAGTTTAACTGTTTATTAAATGTTTATGCCCTTTAACTTACTCAGTTACTAATTTTACTTATAACTTTGCTTAATTTTTTAGTTTTTGCTTCTTTGAAGCACAGCACTTTTGCTTCTAGCATTACTACTTTAGAACTTACAACTTGATTACTAATGTTTATTAGTAAAACAATGAAATTTCAACTGACCGATACAAGTTTTGCTTCTGAATTCTTCAAGAGCTGGTGTGTGACTGACTTCCCTTCAAACCATGAGGTCCTTAGTCCATCAGCTTCTCGGCTCTGTCACACCGTTAAATTGTAGTGATTGGATGTTTTTGAAATTAGGGAGTTCACTTTATTTCCCTGATTTCCAATCAGCTACTGTGACTTTGGATTTTAGCCCTTAAAGGCATGATGTAACTTTCGACAGGTCTTTGATGGATTCTCTGCTTGGCTTCAGTCTCTGGCACTCCTTCTTAAGAATTATGAGTTGCAAAAGCTGTCAGGTTTCGAATTCTCAAAGACTGCCGCAGTTACGCTTTTGAGCTAAAATTCTCAGAAATATCCACAGGGTTTCTTTTGGTTCTATTGCAAGTTTGAGAATAAACTAATTCTTACATGCAAGAATAGGCCTGTGTCTCACTGACTTGTTCATAACCTCCCACTGTGAAACAATTAAATTTCTTATTAATAGACTTAATTAAATTGAAATGGGTGCATGGCAGTGTTTCGGTTACAGGTATGGGTACAAGTGTTGTATACATAAAATCCAGAATTATAATGTAACCTTATAAATATGTGAGATCTGAGATTCTCATTCAGGTAACTTTGGGACTGTGATGGTGAAAGCATCATGTGCCTCCAGTACAAAACATCTACCAGACCATATGGTGGCACACACCAGAAGACAGTAATCTTCAGAACCTCATGACAATAAACAGATAATTTTTGCCTAATGCTAAGCCGAGAAACTTTGGAAGGTACACAGATCGAATGTTAGCCAGGAAATTTGTTTTCTGATTGAAGATCCTTTCGTCTTCCCAAGTCCCATTGCTGGAGAGAGATTTACAGTTCACCCATAGCTGACAGAAGTTACCATTAATGAGCAGAATCAGTATAGTCCCTGCACTTTTTACAGTGCATTTAAGCTACCTAGAAAGGCAGTAAGTATATTATTTAAGACTGAGTAGTTATTTCAGATCATCTTGTTTATTAGCAACCACATAAGCATTTAAAAACCATGTAGGCATTGTCACATGATAGGATTACAAGTTATTGTGGTATTGGAATGATTAATTATAAATGTATATGGCATGTACTTCAAATACATGCAATGCTGTGATTACATGAAAATTGTTTAGATGAAGTTACTGCAGTTTATACATACAAATATGAACTTCACAATGCCCACACACTTGTGATACATGTAAACACTGCTTTTGTTTCTGGTTTCATGATATTGGTATGGATGTCAGTACAGATGCCACAAAACTTGAAACATGAGCTGAAGCTTCATATAACCTATTCTGATGGAGTGAGGAGGGGTGTGAGCATAAAACATAAATGAATAACACTGTGGGATATCAGTCTTCGTACTTGGAGAGACAGCCACATAAATTTCTATGACAGATGTTTATTGCTGTTAGAAGAAGAGTATACAGATGAGCAGGCAAACAATGTGCAGTAACTGGTGAGGTATTGTCGGGCCCCGAATATGGCTGTAACTCTAAGGCAGGGTATGCCCAACGAATGCTGGCAAAATTCCATTTGCAGCAGGCTGACTTGTCAGTCTTCCTTGTGTCAGCAGCCAGGTGACTGAGGTGGCTGTAGGGTGGTGAACACTGATGGTGGACTTCCCAATGGGTCTAGGAGACCACTAGTGGAGTTGACTGATGGTTTTGCTCCTAGATTAGAGAAATTGCCCTCTGTTTCCACCCCCACCCTCCCAAGGGCTGTGGGCATGTATTGTGGTATATGGGAGGTTTGAAATGGAAAGTGGTAATGAGAGAATTAGCAGAGATGATGCCTGGCATGGAAAGGGACTTTAGAATGTCCTGGTGGGCTAGGTCCCATTGTCTCCTCTTGATTTCTAAGGTGAGCTTGGGCATCCTATGGATGATGCAAAAAAAAAAAAAAAACTAGCAGTCGTGGAAGGGAAGCTGATGAAATTGTGTGTGGATCAGGATGGGTAGGTCATGGTTCAGAGTTTTCTTGGTTGAATTTGTATGGAAGGTAATTTAAAGCATTCTGATCACAGTGGTCACTCAGTCTGAGACATGAAATGTCTTCACTTGCTCAAACACTGGGTTCGTGGGTTCAAATTCCACTCAGGGCATGGATGTCTGTCTGCGTTTATGCTGTGTTTGTGTTAGGCAGTGGGCTGATCTGCCTGTTCAGCAGTCCTACCAACAACAACAACAACAACAACAACAATAATAATAATAATAAAGCAGTTTCAATTATAATATGTCTTCTTACTTTCAACACATTTAGAGGCCCCTCATACTGTGGAACCCCATGCCATAGCTTAGGTGGCTTACACCTAAATGCCATAGTACATAGTACAATTCATAGTCAATGTATGGACAAACATAAACAGTAAGGAAACATGCAAGTGAATATTGCTGTATGCGAAAAGAATTAAAACTATCATAATTTGAACTGAACCAAATTTATAATCTGTTAGTCGTGGAAATGATGGGGATACCCCCAGCTCAGCACTCAGTATCTCAAAAAATGCAAGGGTTTATGTGATAACTTTTACCAACATTTGGCTCATCTGAATATTCCATTCTTTTTTCACGAAAGGTCCATAATACATGGAAACAGAAATACTCTCACACCAGAGCACAGAGTGGAAGAGAATAAGGGGAATTTACC